CCCTCTCCCCTCCTCCCCTCTTCTTCCCCCTTCTATTTCCCTCCTCCTCTTCCTCCTATTTCTACTACCAATATTACTCCTCCCTCCTCCTCCCCCCTACCTTCTCCCTCGCCCTCCCGCCTCCCTACTACCCTCTCCCTCGCCCCTCCCTCCTCCCTTCTACCTTCTCCCTCGCCCTCCCTCCTCCCTACTACCTTCTCCATCCCCCTCCCTCCTCCTTCGTCCTCCCTCCTCCCTATGGGCCTGTAAGTTTCCAGCGGAGCGCGATCCATAGCCGCCAAGGGACTCGTGCCCCAAAACGTGGAGCGCGTTCCACAGCAACTGCGGGCATACTCACACTACGACTTCCTTGGCCTAATCTATCCGCAATTACGGTCCGATGCATCTCGGACTACTGGTAGTCGGGAACGCGGTGCGCAATCCATAGCAACCAAGGGGGACCCCATTTTCCTCGATGACCTATCTGAAATCGAACAGATTTTCTCAACAAAAAAAAAAAAGAAAAAAAAGAACAGATTCTCAAACTCAGTAACCATCCCACTAAGGCCTTACTCACACTACCGTAGGGACTTTCTCGATCGACTCTAGACGCAAATACGGTTCGATTCATCAACGAAAATCCTAGTGTGAATATGGCCCCCCCAAGGTTACCCTCACCAAGGGCCAAAAAGTAGAGGGTCAACCACCTCCCCCTTCCTCTCCCCACCTCTACTTCTCCGGCTCAAGGCCATAGACATGTGATGTAATCACACTGGGATTTTCTCGATCGAATCTAGCTGCAATTCCGGTCCGCATGCATCTCGGAAACTCCTGGTATGAGTATGCCCTAAGGTTACCCTCACCAATGGGCAAAAGAGAAGCGGGGTCAACACATTCCCTCTCCTCCCGCCCCCTTCTTCTCCCCAACGTCCCCTCTTCGGCTTAAGGCCATAGACATGTGATGAGGTAGCAAAGAATATTTCACCCAGTAGTTTTCTTTTATTCATTCTTCGTCTTTTTTTTCTGTGAGTAGGGAAGACGACGACGCAGAAGGGAAAAAAGACGACGCAGAAGGGAAAAAGACGACGCAGAAGGGAAAAAGACGACGCAGAAGGGAAGACGAGGAGGAGGGACGACGAAGAAGACGCACAAGAGAAGAAGACGACGACGAGTAAGAAGAAGAACAACAAATCAGTAATGGCGAGGCCAATCACCACGTGTCCACGCTTATGAGTATTCAATAGCCTGCATGGACATTTAAGCTCACAAACGCGCACATTCCCCGACGCGTTTCGCCTGGCTGTGCTCCAGGGCTTATCAAGGGGCAAACCACACTCCCGCATCCACCTGTCTGTCCGCCTGAGCTCTGAGGGCCGTTCTGGCCTTGCCCTCGCGGAAAGAAGAAGAAGAAGAAGACGAAGAAGAAGAAGAAGAATAGTCAATAGTGAAAACAGTGGCCATAGACTGCTTCTCCCACACGCATCGACAAGATATTTCAATACTTCTCCGCCCGCATGTACAGTTCTCAGTTGAAAACGCGCAAATCAAATTCCCCGACGCCTTTTTTTCGGCTAATCAGGCTGCGCTCCTGGCACTCACTCCTCAGGGGGCTCCTCCCCATATCCGCCTTACGGCACCACCCAACATGCCGATCAGTCTCAGAATCCAGGGCCGACATCCTTCCCCTCCTCTTAGATACACTGATCCGCTCTCTACAGAGGCACAATCCCACACGCTTGTCCTCGCCTACTGCACCAATCAGTCACGTATCAACCTCGCGGGAAGAAGAAGAACCTCGTCTACTGCATCAGGCTGTATGGCCCGTGAAATTCGACTTCAAAATTCGCATCGTAATAACCCCGCGGGAAGAAGAAGAAGACGCAGAAGGGAAGGCGACGACGACGACGCGGGAAGAAGAAGAAGAATGGTGAAAACAGTGAAAAGAGGGGCCAACTGCCTTTCGTACACGCTTCGAAAGATCTTCATCGTCAATGCATACATAGCCGCGCATACTAGTCTCAGCTTACGCGCACATTCCCCTACCCGCGTTTCGATCGGCTGCGCACCGATCATCCTCAGGGGGCTAACCTCTTGACCATGATGCCTTGCGGTCCGCCGAGAGTCCTCCCAGAGGAAGAGGAAGAGGCAGAAGGGAGGCCAACGAAACACTCGACCAAACGGCTAAGTGGACTGGGATGAAAGTTAAGCCCCAAGATGAGTACTTAACCCCACCCCAGCACGGGTACTCGTTTTTCCCCGACCCGGTGTACCCAGTCACACACGCGCACCCAACCAGAGTGTGTAGACGTAGCCACCGTACAGTGTACGACCTCACTGTTGGTTGCCACGCAGGTAAGTAGTGAAACTTACTCCAGACAGCAATAGAGAAGTGGCAGAAGGGAAGACAACGACGACGACGCGGGAAGAAGAGAAAGAGGCAGAAGGGAAGACAACGATGACGACGCGGGAAGAAGAGGAAGAAGACGACGGTACCGGAGGAACACGTGGTTAATACGTGGTGTCATTTTCGCCGAAATTTTCACCGACACTGCCATATTCTGCCTTGATTTTCTGCTTTTGTTTTCTTGATTTCTTTTTTTTGTGTGTGTCATTTGTATGTGCTTTAGGGTATATATCATGTATTCAGCTTCTTGGACATACTGTGTATTGACCATTGACGAAAAAAATTGCCTTTAGGGTTTTTTTGGGTGGTTTTGCGTTTTTTTATCCGTTGAACGCTTATTTGAAAATTTCGGAAACCCTTTTTGTGTTTTTGTGTTTTTGCGTTTTTTTTGTTCGTTTTTGTGTTTTTTTTTAACTCTGTTCTCTTTTGCCTGTGTGGTTTTATATGTTCGTATTACTACGATTCTGTATTGTTTGTTCCCAAAATTTTCCACCACGTTGGCGATGCGCTGGAAAACATCTCTCGCGAATTTTCCGCCTTACATTAACCATCTCTCGCGGGAAGACAACGACGACGCGGGAAGAAGACGACGACGCGGGAAGAAGAAGAAAACGACGCAGAAGGCAAGAAGAAGACGACGCGGGGAGAAGAAGACGACGCAGAAGGGAAGACGACGACGCGGGGAGAAGAAGACGACGCAGAAGGGAAGACGACGACGCAGAGGAGAGGAGGGATGACGCAGAAGGGAAGACGACGACGCACAGGAGAGGAGGGATGACGCAAAAGGAGGCAGCGAACATACTGGATGACGAAAAAACAAGATCGGGGAGGAAAGGAGTAAAGGGAGAATGAGGACGAGGAGCACCGTTTTGGGGGGGGGGGGGGGGAAAAAAAAAAAAAAAAAAAAAAAAGTGTAAGCCCAGAAGCAGGAAAATACAGGGAGGCAGGGATAAGGAAGAGCACTTACGCAGAGGAGAAGCTGACCTCTTCCAGTTGTGGACGTAGAAGAAGAATTAGGTGGGGGGGAAGAAAAAAGACGAGGAGGAAGAAGACGAGAGGAAAAAGAGGGCAAGAGCAGGATGAGGGGACGAGGAGGAAGACGAATGAGGAGCAGGAGGAAGAACAGGAGGAAGAGGAGGAGGAAGAGGAGGAGGAAGAGGAGGGAGGAAGAGGACGAGGAGGAAGAGGAGGAGGAAGAGGAGGGAGGAAGAGGACGAGGAGGAAGAGGACGAGGAGGAAGAGGAGGGAGGAAGAGGAGGAGGAAGAGGAGGAAGAGGAGGAAGAGGAGGAGGAGGAGGAGGAAGAGGAGGAGGAAGAGGAAGAGGAGGAAGAGGAGGAAGAGGAGGAGGCGGAAGAGGAGGAGGAAGAGGAGGAGGAGGAAGAGGAGGAGCGAATAGTCGAAGAAAAAAGAGATGAGGCAAGAGAAGGAGGATAAGCGTACAAGGAGAACGACAAAATGGATTCAAATCGATGAGCAAACGGCAGCAAACGGCAGCAAACGGAAGGAGGGAAAGAGTAGGGAGTAGGGTAGGCAGGGGCTAATGGCAGAGGGCCATGTTACCGGTTCCTTCTTTGTGTTGTCACTGGGAGTCAATCTGTGTCTGAGGGCATACCTCACACTAGCAGTTTCCCAAATATATCAGGCGGCAATTACGGCCACACCTGGATGAATCTGACCGCAATCACGTCCAGAGCTTAGAAGATAAACAGTCCTAGTTTGAGTATGCCCTGAATTCTTCTTGGTGATTTCTCATGTTGTCTGAAGTTTTCAGCGTGGGAATTACTGGTATTATGATACTATTATCCATCACCTCTTCGTAGCAAACGGCAGCAAACGGCAGCAAACAGCAGCAAACGGAACGGGAAGGAATGAAAGAGAGAGTATCATGGACGGGGAACTATCAGACGAAGATTAATTAAAAAAAGGACAAAAAAAAAACTGAGATTAATTAGAAAACGAAAAAACAAAACAAACGGAGAGTAATTAGAAAAGGACCCAAAAAAAAACAAGGGAGATTAATTACAAAAGGACAAAACAAACAAACGGAGATTCACTAGGAAAAAGGGGAATAACAATGCCATTTTTCACCGCCTTTTGTCTTAAAAAAAAAAGAAGATCAAGTGCAGTGTATCTGTTCTGATCAGTTAAAAATCTGATCCATGGTCCATCGGACCACTTTCAAAAAAAA